TTTAATGAAGTGCATGTTTTTCTGTGCTGGTGCTTATTGACTTACTGCTTATAAACTGTTTATAAGTTAAAAATTCTTTAGTGTGTATAAAATGATTTAAATGAGATATAAGTTATTTCGGAATATTAATAATGGTGAGAGATACTTTTGTAAGTAATCTGATCAAAATTTTTGCATGTGAATAAAATGCTTATAAGACTTAATTATTTTTCTTTATGTGAAATTAAATTTAAGCAAATGCAATAAATTTCAGTTGGAATCGGGAATTAGGGCCAATTTAGATATTGGAGGACGAGCCACCGACCGAGTCCAGACTCCACCTAAACCCGGGTCGATTCGGGTAACCAACCACCGGTCAGTGGCTCCGGCCGTCGTCGTCGGGCTTCGTCTCTCTTGTTTTTCCAGTTGGAGACGAGAAGAGAGTGAAGAAGGCATAGTCTTCGCGCAATGTCCTCCGATTCTAGTTCCCCGTCGCCGCCGTTGACCGCCACATTTTCCGATGGCGATCAAATTCCGGACCCCGAACGCAACCCTAACCTCACCCCCAACTCAATCGATCAGTCTCTGGATGCTATAGAGAACCAACTAGCTTCTATTTCCATGTCCCAGTCCGAACTGGATTTAGAAACGGAGCTCGATTTCGGCGCGCATGAGAAGTCGCAGCTGAAGGAGGTTAGAAATGGATCTTACAAGCAGGAAACAACAGATTCTGGCGCTGAAGAGGAGACTGCTTTGCGGAATGCCCATGCAGAGGCGAGCTCATCCAGAGAAGGAAGTGCTTTTATTTGGAGGAGCAATTCGGAGGTGGATGAAACGGAGGCGCTGCCAAGTCCAAGTAGCAGTGCTTATGCGGGCGAGAGGGGGAGTAGCGGCTCCAGCAGCAGGGGCTCTGGAATTGGAGATGAGATTCATGAAGTTGGTAACCACGACTCGGCCGATGGAGTATCAGAGTGTAATGCACAGCGAGCTCCCGGAAAACGCCATGGAGATGAGGTAGGTCTGGTGCAGTTATGTATTTTAGCAAACCATATTGTTGTTGCATGGTATTTTGTTTCAGGAGTTGTGCAGTTGTGTTTACCTGAAGCCATGGATTTTGGTTCGTATGGGAAGAGCCTCTGCAATTAAGTGTTAGAGTAGAGCAAACTTTAACGGCTTTCTCGAAATCCTAAAGCTAAAGTCTAACCCTAATTGATATAGTTATGAAGTGTTTCTCTTTAAAAACCGTTTTTTGTCCTACCGGTACATGCAGTGATGATTTTAGAATCTGGGAACTTTGGATTTTTTATTTTTCTAAGTAGTACTTGGGATTTAATGCATGCATTTTTGTCATCTGTTGAAACCTGATTTGAAATTAGAAAATCTATTCATCTGCAAGCAACTATCAGCTATTGTTAATACACTTGTTTTCAATGCAAAATGAAAAGAAAAATGTTACAGTAGTAATTCTCACTGCCTTTTCAGTTGTCACCTGTGGAAGGCGTTGATATGCTCATTTATCCTCTTTTCATTGGAATAACAAAGTGCAGGATGATACTTCGATTTCTTGGAGAAAAAGGAAGAAACACTTCTTTATTTTGAGTAACTCGGGGAAACCAATATATTCCAGGTATGCGTCTTTCTCATTTGGGATTTTGGAATTCTAGTATGATGTTTATTTTGTAATTCCACCACTAGTATCAGGGACATGCCATGAGTTATATCATACATATTAATGTTTAGACATTCAATTGTTTCTAGTATCTCTTCATGTATAAGAGTCATTTTCCATCTCTTTTGTATAATTTAAAGATATGGAGATGAGCACAAATTAGCTGGATTCTCTGCCACTTTGCAAGCCATCATTTCCTTTGTAGAAAATGGGTAAGTTGCTTATGTTTGTTATCTTAGCTATTCCCAAAATTATTCCAACTTTCCTTTTTTAAATGTGTCTCAAAATTATGTCTCATTTCATTTCAAGGAAAGAAACATGTGATTCATATTTCTTCTTTCTCCTATGCATGAATTTGTACCACACAGTTTTCATTTTCTTAAATTTTATGCCCAATCAAAGTATGCTCTACCGAGAGAGGAATTAGTTTGTATCCTTGCAAATTCCATAAAGCATGAAAGATTTTTATTCTTATCTGTCTTCCAGGGGCGATAGAGTCAACTTGATTAGAGCAGGGAAACACCAGGTCAGTTTTTCTTTCTTCTCATAGTTCTCAAGCGTCTACAGAACTTTTACAGTTGTCCCCTCATACAACATTTCCACCAACATTGGCTTAATAGTGAACTTCTTAATGTTAGTAAACCACAAAATTCAATCTAGACCTAGCAGATTAAACCATGAGAAGATTTGTTGACATGGTGATTATTTTATATTTGCTGTTTTCTAGTTCAGTACAGTTTGTTGGAATTCCTTTGCTTGTAAAGCAATTATTTTACATCATACCAAAGAGCTCCCAAGTGTACCGTGTCTCACTGTTTTTCATTCAGGTGGCTTTTCTTGTCAAAGGACCTATTTACTTAGTTTGCATAAGCTGCACAGAGGAGCCTTATGAATCACTAAGGGGACAATTGGAGCTGCTATATGGTCAGGTAATGTTTTCCCCTCTCTTCATTCCCTGATATATTTCTTTAGTTGGCTTACATTTACATAGAGGTAATTATGATTTTCTGCTGGTTTATCTGCCCAAGCTTGTTATAGAACTATAATATCTTGTTATGTATGTATTCCTCATACAATAGTGGTGCATGGATGCAGATGATTCTTATTCTTACAAAATCAGTGAATAGATGTTTTGAGAAGAATCCAAAATTTGATATGACACCTTTACTGGGAGGAACAGATGTTGTCTTCTCTTCTCTTATTCATTCCTTCAGTTGGTTAGTCTCTGTACTCCATATGTGTTGCACTTATTCCATACCAAATAAGGCAAACATAACAACTTTTGTTCTAGCAATTTCTCAACAGGTAGTTGGTTAGGATGCTTAGCTCCCTTCCCTACAATCACTCGAATCTAAGGCATGGAGTTTCATATGAAACCACCTTGTGAAGTGCTTTGGCCCAAATTAGCTCAGAGATATTCTAATCCAAGACATCTTGCACGAATAGAACTCAAGATTGGTGGGGAAAATAAATGAAGGATGGTCTTTATCAAATTACAACAACCTAGTTGAATCCCACTACTGGTGAGGGTGTGTGTACGCAGACCTTGCCCCTACTCGAAAGTACGGAGGCTGTTTCCAAGAGACCCCCGACTCAACCTGCACAAAAATATGAAAGGGGACACAGTATAACACGGATAAAGCACCAAGTACAATGAAATGAAAGTCCTGTAAGCAATAGCAAAAGATTCCAATCAAACACAAGACACTACAAAACAACCTCTACAGCATCGAACTCCTATCCAGCTACTCTAATCCTAGTTCTCCAAAGGTTCATACCTAAGGCCATATCCTCAGTCAGGGTGAGAAGTCCTAAATCCTGCCTAATCACCTCCTTCCAATTCTTCCTAGGTCTACCCCTTCCACTACTTCCCCCAAAGGAAAATCTTTATCAAAATATGAGCAAGAATCTTAGACTCATATAAGTAATAAAGCCAAGGAGAATCTCCAATAATATATATTGAATTACTTTCAGGATAACTTGTACAAATAAAGAGCCTCAATATTTATTGAAGCCGGATAACTACCAATCCCTAGAATTTAGGCACACTACCACATTACCTAGCAACTATTCCTAGACTTTAGGCACACTACCGCATTATTTAGCAACTACTCCTAGAATTTAGGTCCACTTACACATTATTTACTACTTAATAACTAACATATATAATAAAACATCTGGCCTGACTCTATTATAAATATAAATAACATAAAATAACAGCATATGTGGCACTCTATCAGTTATACTGCAAGATGTCTACATGCCAAGTTAAATTGGCATGCCATGCCACCTACCAAGGTGGTTTGGCAAGTATGGCAACCGCTGCAGCATGGAGCATGATATATCAACTAGTTATGTCTGTGTTGACGTATTGTATTATAACATTTCTTTAAATGAACTAGAGCCGCTAGAGGACAAGTCCTATGTTGGTTACCTTCTGGAAGCAAGTGCTTTACAACAAATATGCCATCAGCCCATCACACATGATGATAAGTCCATTAATAGGGTTATTCCAATATTTCCACATTTACCCGGCAATGAAAAAAAAGTGCACAAGGAATTTGTTGAAACTTAGTTAATTTAGGAGTTAGGAGCAATCTAATAAAATTAAATATTTCTGACTTTTTTTACTAGATGCAAAATACTTCATTAATAAGAAATTTGAGACTACATTCTTGGCCATCTGTCTAAAGGCAAATGTGCTGCCCAGAGGCTCAAGCTCAGAGAGATTGCAGCAATGACATTGACATGTCAATTGGAAACCAATTGATTGAGTGGTCTATAAAGGCAACTTGTTAGCCTCATGAGGTTGAAGCGTGTTGTGAGCCTTCAACCTCATATTTCTTGTTTAATGGTTTGTCTTTGCCCATTACTTTTACATAAATCATATTGTGCATTTAATATTTTAAGTTAGTCAATAAGGTCTTTTAAAGCCTATAATCTATTTGCAGTAATAAACAATTATATTGACACAATTCTACTTACAAAGTTCACTCATTTCACATAACCTACAAACTACTTTGCACTCCTTCAGAAGTGCAAATGTTCTTTGCAGCTATTGAGCCACCATTCCTAATCTCCTTTCTAGCATGGTTCAAGCAACTGCAATTACTTTTTTTTCTTTTTGATTTGAACAATAACAACATATGGAGTGCATAAAAGAACTTTTTTTTTCTTTTTGTTCAAATTGCTTCAGAACATCAACATTTCTTCTCATTCTTTCTCATGCAGACACCTGTTCTTTTTTACGACAAAAAATCTTAAAATATTCTCTTTAAAGAGTTAAACTTATGATAGTGGTTTATGACACTAAATTATGAGGTTTCAAGGCTTACTCTTCAAACTACCTTGAGGCCTATGCCTTGCCTCACAAATGGAATATATCTCCATGCTTAAAAGGCGCCTATTTAAACATGGTTAAGTTCCCATGTGGGATTATGTTTCAAATAGGTTTCTGCTAGGACTCCTTTGGTAGTTGGTGTTGACCAAATGCTAGTCAAACCCATTCAACTGAAGTACTTAATTACGTCTTTGTTGGGTATCCTTCCCATTAAGTGCACTATTATAGGCAATTTTCTGAGCGGAAACAAAAGATAGAACTTTTCTGAAAAATAGAGTTTATGAGCGTAAAACAAGGTATGGGGCCACTTGGGTCTTGGGGTCAAGGTTTACACGACCTTCTGTAAAAAAGATATGTGGTTTCTGTTAGACCTTTGATGCATTTAGTGCCCAAAACTTCAAATAGAGTAAGAAGAAGGGGAAGTTTAATGTGGCATTTTGACTTAATTATTTAGCTTAAGCTAAAACTATGTCAAAATTTGACTCTTTTAGCTCTATTGGCAATGCACTTAAATGGTGGTAGATAAAAATAGCATTTCATGCATGATGCATCATTAATTTTGATACTCTTGTAGGAGATTAATTTTAATACTCCATGTGTTCTTTACCAATTATAGGAACCCTGGAACATTTCTTCATGCATACACATGCCTCCCTCTTGCTTATGAGACAAGGCAAGTTGCTGGTGCAATATTGCAAGATGTTGCAGATTCTGGTGTCTTATTTGCCATATTGATGTGCAAACACAAGGTCTTACCGTCTTATTCAAATTTTCTTGTTTACTTCTCTTCATATGATTTTTGAAAGACCATTTCAAATTCAACTATGAAGCGATTATCTAATCTATCAAGAAACTTAAATATAGGTAATTAGTATTGTTGGTGCACAGAAAGCGTCACTGCATGCGGATGATATGCTTTTGCTCTCCAACTTTGTCATGTCTTTTGAATCATTTAGGCAAGTTCCCTTTTATTTTTTGAATCACGGTCCTTATATCACTATATCTTTTTTTACCTCTACATGTCACGCACATTCTTTGTCAACATAAAAATGCAAATGGCCTTATGGAGTTCTGCATTGCTGAATTTGTCTGTTTACATAGAACTATGGGAAAATATATTCTGCAAAGAGTGTTTCTTCATGTTTAGTTGTGATATCTTTGCAATGACAATTACTTGTCTCCAGTTATTCCATTGTATTATTAGCTATCTTAATTCTTAATACTCCCCCGCCCCCCATAGATCTTCCCATTAGCCCTTTTTATTTTCCCCCCATAGATCTTCTCATTAGCCCTTTTAACATTTAGAATACCACAACTACCCCCACTTTATTTATTACACTTCATCCACCACATTTAATTTTCTCCACCCATTTTCATTAAGGATATTTTGGTAAACTTTCACCTTTTTTCAATTCTCCTTAAAAACCACAAAAAGTCAAAATGATAACATCTCAGGGGGACGGAGGGAGTATTAACCTCAGTTGACTTGAATGTAAAGGGACCCACTTATGATGAAGCCCCTAGATAACCTCAGGCTTGTGTGAGGTTCTGTCTTCAAGTTCAGGATTTAATTAGAAACTACAGGTTTATTTTAAAGACATTGTCGGTCCATTTGGTATTAGTGCTAGCTTTTTGAAAAGCTATATTACAGTAGTCTTTAACGTTTTCGAAGTTAATCTGGTCCATTAAAAAACTATTTAAAAAATCTAATGCTTATTTCAAATATTGTTCCTAAACGGACTTAGTAGCTTAGTCATATATTTCTTCATCGCAAAATGACATTTCATTTCCTACTTACTTTGTTGCTCTCTTCTGGCTGCCTAGTATATGGAATTGCTTGAAGGCCTCAATGCTTAATACATCATTTTATTCATGCAGAACATCTGAAAGCTTTTCACCAATTTGTTTGCCAAGATACAACCCCATGGCATTTTTATATGCTTATGTGCATTATCTTGATGTGAGTAGCTAGTAGTTAGCCTTTTTATTTTAAATTTGGAATCTTTTATTAGAACTTTCAAGTCCATTAATAAATGATTCTTAATACATGAAGGCTGTGTGCAGGATTTTGACAGTATTATTTGAATTTATGGTGACAGGTTAATACCTACCTAATGTTGCTTACCACAAATTCAGATGACTTTTTCCATCTGAAAGACTGCAGGTATTGTTATTGTTGTGCAATTTAAAACTTACATGCATGTAACTTATCTTTTGAAGTCCTTGCATCTTGCAGGATTAGTATCGAACAGGTTCTTTTGAAGTCCAATGTACTATGCGAAGTTCAAAGATCCACGGTAGATGGTGGCATGCATGCTGAGGACCTGCCTTTTGATAATGGTCCCTGTTCTGGATCAGTATCTCCTCGTGTGGGTGAGCCAAGACATGCCGCGGAACCCCAAGAAAATATCAGGGATGCATTTTCTGGGACAGGCGGTCCTGCTGGTCTTTGGCATTTCATGTATCGGAGTATTTTTCTCGACCAGTACGTCTCCTCAGAATTTTCATCACCAATAAACACTGCAAAACAGCAGAAAAGGTGAGAATAATTGGCATTACCCGCTTTCAAAATTCTAAAATTAAGCGTGTTTAGTGTGTGTGTGTTTTATCTTTGGTTTATGTTACAGAGTATTTATTATGAAAACATATGGGTTTTAAAATTCACATATTTTATTAATATGGTCATAATGAAAAAACATGTTTCCCAAAACATCATTCACGTTTCGAGCATTTTTCAAAATTCTGTTTTATTTTCCCAAAAACTGAAGACTAGTACTACGGCCCAAACCCATTTTACTGTTTCTATATTGCAAAAAGTGAAAACGTAAACAGAAAACAAAAACATTACTAGAAGCTTACCTGAATTGGAATTTGTTCTTCCATTTGCAGACTGTATAGAGCTTACCAGAAGCTTTACTTCTCAATGCATGACAAAGAAATTGGGCCTCACAGAACTCAGTTTAGACGGGATGAAAACTACGGTAAACATTGTTGCAGATTTTGTTTTGAATATGTTTGATAGTACATGTATTTCATTTTTTTTCATGGCAAGATTTTCTCGATCAAAGATAAAGCCTTTCACCTCTACCTTTTTTATGCTGCAGTTCTCCTCTGTTGGGTTACACCAGATTTTGAGCTTTATGCGGCATTTGATCCTCTTGCAGACAAGGTATTAAACGAGATTGTGTAAAACTTATTCCTTAATCCTTACATAAGCACAACCTTTTAATTTTAGCAGGTACAACTATTGGAAATCATCAAATTTGAGTAGATTTTAACTTTATTTGTTAGTTAACTGAACATAACACATTAGACACTTCAAAAAAACATTAAATACACCTTAAAAACCATCTTTGTTTAAATTGGACATTAATCTGACAAAAAAATATGTTCAGAAACATGACTTTCTATGGTACTGATGGAATAGTTGATCTTGTTTTCCACTGTGGACTTTATATCCTTTAAGGGATGAATAAAGTATTTCTCGTTTTAGAAAAACCCCGTTCAAAACTAGTTCGCTGTATTCAGCCAAAATTTCACTTAAGTTTACTGACTTTTGACAAGTTTTAACCTCACCAAAACAAATCTTAATCCTCGTGGACCTCAAAACAAGTTGTGCCTTGCAGGCATTGGCAATAAAGATTTGCAACAGGGTGTGCCAATGGGTGAAGGATGTAGAGAACGAAATATTCTTGTTGGGAGCCAGCCCTTTTTCTTGGTGATTCACTCCATGTGTTTAGGTAGATGATACACTGTAAGATCTGTTTCTTTTCTTTGCTCAAATAAGTAATTGAGAATACTATAAGTCACCCCAACTCTCGCCCCACCTTCTCACAACATCCACATGCATTCAATAGCAATGGGGTGTCTGTGGATGTCTATGAGAATGTGGGGTACCCCACATTCAATGGCAATGAGGTGTCTGTAGATGTCTATGACAATGTGGGGTACCCCTATCACGGTCCATAAATCTTTCCTTATTTTTTTAAAAATATATAGGCTCTCCATATTGTTGCAGTGTTCAAGATTTACCTCTCTAACCATGGCAAAAATATTAATACCAATTGTAATGTCTAAAATTGAGCTTTATATACTCAGTTTAACCTAACTCTAGAGAAGTTTTTTTATATACGCAGTACATAGGATTTTAGTGGATTTTTTCAGGGCAGGCAGTGTTTGAAGCTGTATAATAAACTCTTGATGACCCCATTTTTGTATGCCAACTCCATTTGGTGAAACATTTTCTCATGGGTTTGTTATTTGTATATAATTCGGTTTTTAGTCATAATTCATTTCTCTCATTAAAATGTTGTGCATTTTTTAAATGTATCTGAACCCCGAAAAAATAAGGTTTCACTTTCATTGAAAGAAAAACTGGCGTGGTTCACATTATTTCTTTTTTTTTTCAACATAAATTTCAATTATTTGCGGAGTAAAAAGCGTGTCAATTTGATTTTGAAACCTTATTTTTGGATGAGAGTATTAAAATGGTGAAAACCTTAATTGATTATTTTGTAAAATAAAATATTTGTTGCATCTCTTGTTTTTACTGAAACTTTTGACATAGTCTGTAAGTTTCGTTCTGTATTCTTATATTGATTTTTAAATAAAATGATTTCAAGAAATATAAAGTTTTATTTTGTAATGCAAAAAGTATAATCTTATTTGGGATGGAGAGTGTCGTTATACCAAAAAAGAAAAAAAAATGCTCTGTATTTAGGCCAAGGTTAATCCAAATTATACTCTCTCAAAAAATCACATGTTTTTCTTCTTGGTCTGTCCAAAAAAGATGCATTTGTTTCATCGTGTGTAGGTCTTTTTTGGGTGTTTTACTTTGGGGCCCTGTTTGGGAACACAAATTTGTAAGGGGTTTGGATTATTTTTTGATGATACAAGTGGCATAGAAAATGTTAATGTAAACGTTATCATTACTCAGCATTTCCAAAATACAAAAGTTAAACGCTAAAGGTGTGAATTAGGCACAGGCGCACATTGTTTCTTTCTCTATATAAGTTTTAATTACACATTTTCTACTATAGAAAATTGTGTCCATTTATATTAGACATCTTTTTTGAATATAAGGAGTACTAAATAATGGAGTGTTTTTCAAGAGAAAAAGACTAAAATAGGAGTAAAATATTAAGTACGGAGTATATATCAAAATAAAAATTTCATGATTTTATTCCTGAAATAAGTGTTAAAATGTATTTACATTACTAATCATGATCATATATATTACTTCATCCGTCCTAATTTATAGTGCTTGTTCACTATTTACAGAGTCAAATTTCATTCACTTTTTTTCTCTATTTTTATTAGCAATTTGAAAAAATAAATACTATTGTCACTACTACTTTTATAGATCTTTGGATGTAGTATTTTAACATATAATTTTGATTTTTTAACTCTATCATTTGTCATATAAAATGATTTGAAAATTTTTTTAGTCAAACATCGTAAACTCAAACAGATACTATAAATTGGGGCGGAGGGAGTACCAAAAAGTATAATAAAATTTCTCTGTATAGTGTCACATTACCACAATGTGAACTTTTATTTAGAAAATAAAAATATGGAATTCATATTTTTATACTTTCTCTAGTTTTACTCCAATTTAGAGTGATTTCTTGTTTTCCAAGTACTACATTATATTCTTTCAAGTTTCAAGTAGAAAGACTGAAATTGAAATAAAAATATTGAAAAAAATTAAAGTAAGACTTTCATTTTATGAGACCCAAAATAAAACTTACAATGCCATTAGTGTAAATTTATATTACCAAAAAAAATATAGAACGTTAATGTATTATGACACGTTGTCACAGTCTTATTTTGAAGATAAAGATATGACACTCATACTTTGAGGACAATGACTATGTTTTATTGTTATTTTGGATAATTTCTTTTCATTCAATCATCATATTTTATCTTATTGTTATTAGTTTTATTTTGATGTAGTATTTGTTTATATTTTTTAATTTAGTGATGGCTGCCGGGAATCAAATTTGAGTGAGCTTCCCCTTAAATTTTAGAATGAGAACTTCCTACCACTCTAGCAAACATAAATAATTTGAGCATGCATTTCTTGAATAAAACCCATTGTTGAACTAAATAGATAAATAATTCGAGCATGCAATTCCATATAACACAATGGCACCGCTAGTGTCACTGTTTGCGAGTGTCAACGAAACCGTGCTCAAAATAATAAAAATTCGAGAAAAAAAGTTGAAAGTTCTTCTATGGTGAACCTAAAGCTCACACCAACTTTCTAACAAAAAAATATTTTTTTATTTTAAAAAAATTTTAAAAAAAAATATTTTACCTCATTATCAAGCCTTTGCTTATTTTGTTTGGGCGGGAAGTGGCTGGGTGGTAGGGGGTGGACAGGGGCCGAAGGTGAGTAGAAATTTTTCCACGAAAATTGTTTTTTCCTTATTGAGATAATTTTGTTTAAAAAAATCTATCACTTATATTATCAAGCGTAGAAAATTAAAACTAGATTTTTTTGAAAAAATATTTTCTCCCTACCAAACGCTCCCTTAGTATTAAGTTTAGTGTGTGTAGTATGATAAAAAATTTGTTGGTAGAACTAATTATGTTGGCAAGTTGAGAGGCCCTAATAATAATAATAATAATAATAATAATAATAATAATAATAATAATAATAATAATAATAATAATAATAGGATTATTATGCTACGGAGCACTTTATAAGCTGGAATTAGTGAGTTGATGGTTGGCACATTTATACAATGGGCTTCAACTTGTCTTGTCAATATATTGAATCGCAACGAGCCTTAAGTTGCTTTATTATTATTATTATTATTATTATTATTATTATAAAATACTCTATAAAATAAAATATGAACTAATGAAAATAAGTAAAAACAATAGATATAATTAGTTTGATATAGAAATAATGCAGCAAGTGTTTTAAAAGAACCAAGAAATTAAAGTGTCAGTTATCGGTGTGAGGTCTAGAAAACGTTCACTGGTAGAAATAAGTCCGTTCTGAACTTTCATCTAACTTCACTCGTTTAACTTTTATGAAATTTAATATAAAATGTTAAAAAATGAAAATGTTGCATGTTCATAAATAAACAAAAAATAAAGTGACTAGAAAGTAGTTTTTGACATGTCCCAAAAAAAAGATGAGCCCCAACCTCGAGAATCCCCCAAGACGAAGTGAATATTAATGTACGTCCAAGTCTCGAGAGTTGGGCCTTAGAGATTTTGACTCTCCTTTCAAAACGTCACTAAAAACGACACTAAATACCCTCCCATCTTTTCCCTCTCTTTCTTTATTTAGAAAAAATGTTTTATTCACAAATAAAATCATTACAAGCTTCAAAAAATTATTATTTCAGATTTAAATTCTTATTTTAAAGTAGTCTAAAAGAATTCTAATATAAGAATTTCAATTTGAAATGTTAAATTAGTAAAGTTTGTGATAATTTTATTTATGAACAATAACATTTCTTTAATGGATAATGTTCTCTCTTAACAACATGGCTTTGATACGGAAAAAAAAGATAACCCCATCTCCCAAAAATATGTCAGATTTACTTTATTTTTTATGTCTTATTTACTTTATTTCATTTTAAAGATGAATTATTTTAATCAAAAATTGGTCTCTTTTTTAAAAAATTTTAATCACCATATAATTGTGTTTCTTTTAAGATATAATTTTAAATTTTTAATATGCAAGGTATCAATATTTTATAATATAATTTGTTTAAAATTAAACTATATTTAATTTATGATAACGAATCACAAAAATCAAGCTAGGACAATATTTTTGGGATGATGGTTTTCTTAAAATCCGAGAGAGTCAAACCAGAAAATTTATTCTAGGTTAGAATGAAGTACTCTCTCTCTAGAAAATTTGTCCTAATTCTTTCTAGTTACTATTTACATGGTTAAACTTTAATCATTTTTTATTCCTTTTTGTTAGTCATTTGATAAAATAATAAAATTTCTCTAGAATATTTTGTAGAGCTTTTTGTTAGTCATTTTTTTGTTTCTCATTCTTGTTAGTCATTTTTTACTCTAGAATATTTTGTAGAGGTTTTGATATAGTTTTTAAATATATCATTTTTATTTTTTAATTTTAAATAAAAAAAACTTCAATCAAACTTCTTGAATCAAAATGCGAAGAATATTTTAGGAGGGAAGGAGTATAAAATTATGGGGGATAGTGTTTTTTGCAGATTCAATAATGCTAAGAGTACACGAGAATGGAATACCCAATTTGCATATCAAGCAAAAAAAGATACACACACACATTCAATGTTTGTACCCTACAGACATTAAATCTTTGTATATGTCTGTTTTTGTTTGGTGTACAATGAGGTACTCGATTTTGGTATACTTCTAGCATTGCTGCGCTATTTTCGATCTTGATGACAGTAACGAAATTGTGGTGGACTCTAAGAGCACTCGAAATACCCATGACGTCCTGATGCTTCAAACTTTCTCTCTCTGCCACGTCAGCTTGAACTTTACCTCATAGTTTCAGTGAAAATAGGTTTGAAGCCCGAGACTTCAAACTAGGCTTCAAACCTTTTTTTTTTATTTTTTATGGTGGGGTTCTAGTGCCACTGGAGTACGGTGTCACTCCGGTGCCACTGGCATTTTGGGGCACATCCGGTGCTCCGTTCGCAAAATTGACGGTTCTTACCCCCCTAACCCACCCCCTNCCCCGCCGTAAGCCCCCCACAAAATGTGTGGCTATTAGTCCGAGTTGAGCTCCACATCCACAATTTGTTTTTGTTTCAGCCAAGACAACGCCTCCCGACAAGCCATAGCCTCCGCCATTAAGGGGTCAAAAGGGCAATCCATTAAGCCATTCATCGCTGCTTAGAGCACTGGAAATGAGCTTCACGGCCGCCGGCGTGAACGGGCGTTTAACGCCCCGGGGGCGTGAAACACCGCCCCCCTCCGGCGTTTAAGGGGCGTGAGTCGTCCAGCGTCATTAGTTTGACGCGGCGTTGCTGCGTTTTTTCACCGGCTTCCCCCTTCCCAACGGCTATATAGCCGTTACCCCCCAAATTAAAAAAAAATTCTAAATTTAAAAAAAAACCTACAAAATCCCCCTTTCTCATACATCTTTCTCACACATCTCTCACACATCTCTCACACATCTCTCTTTATTACTTTATATTCTCTCTAAAATATTTATTATTATTATTTATTATAAATATTTATAAAA